TTCTTAACATTCTTCAAGTGATCTAGTAACCTAAAACATGGGATTTTAAACCTAGTATGATTGTTGTCAAATTCAGTAATTAAAAAAGACTTCCCTCCGTAGAAAAGACACTCTTCTGTCAATTTTAAAGGATATTTACAGTTTACTACTTTTAAAACAAATTATTTACTCAAATAAATTATTGCCTTCAAGTGCTGGGTCCTCCAAGCATTTATTTCTAGATTATATAAGCATGATAATTACTAGCAAGTAAATCTTGTTTTAAAAGCTTTGATAAGGATGTGGAAGGATGGGGGGAAAGATGAGGGGGTGACATTGATCAAGATGCATTGTACTCATAATCTGACTTCTGGTATTGAAAGCCTTTTTATCTAACTACTTAAAAAGTAAATATTTTTACTAAGCATTAGCAAGTAATGAACAATTATTAAAACAAAGGATTCCAATTTGTGGCTACAGCTTAAAGTCCAATGAGTGATTTGTAGTGATTCAATATTTTATGTAAATATAAAATCAAATAACCTACTTTCTTAAGGCTATAATATGAATGGAATTATAAACAACTACAACCAGAAGTTTTGTTCAAAAACTGAATATTTACTTTAGAAGAGATATTCTTAAACAAAAAATGTATTTTCTAAATTATTTTAAGCTTGCAGACTCATTTACTTTTATTGCTTAAGAAAAATTATTATAATGCACTTGGAAAATGTTTGCTAGTGGAAATGCCTCCATTTTTCTTTTCCTAACTTTACTTCACATTGTGATATATAATTAATTTTATAAAGGCAAAATTTTTATATATTATAAAATTAGTAACATGTTTTAATTCAAAAGGCAATAATTTACAGAAATAATATTTCCAAAGAATTTTGTGGGGTTTTTCTACACAGTACTGAAATATTTTTTTTCAGTTAAAAAAATTTTGCTTTAAGGTGTTTAGAAGCATTTCAAGTATTCTACCAATATAGATTTTTGGAAAACATTGAATTCTTTACAAAAGACAGTTATGTTTAACTTTTACTCCATTGTAAAAATAAAAATTCTTAAGGACTTTTTCCCCCTTCCAAAATCTCATTGTCACCTGAAATAATTGTATTCAGTTGATCTCAGCAGGTAAAGCATACATTCTTACAAGGTTTCAAATTTCAAAATTTCAATAATACATTCAGACCAAGCCCTCTTCTTTGTGTGTGTGCGCGTGTGTCCATCAGCTTGCAGTTCTGTTATTTACACTAAATTTTAGTCTTCTTTAGCTCCCCAGAAATACCTTAGTGAATCCTCAGCAGTTACTAACCACTTAATAATTGTGACCCCGCCAAGCCCCTTCAAGTAGATCGTTAACCACAAGAGTGCCTGACAGTTTCCAAACCGTATCCTCGGTCCAAAAAGGAAAAGATAGGGCTTTGTGAGGCCGAAAGGAAGCGAAGGAAAACAAAACAAATGTAGCTCAAGCTGAAAGTGAAAAGTGCTTGGACAGATTAGTATTTTCTTTTCTGCGAGGCACCCTGCCAAGCTCTTTGCCCCCCCCCCCTCCTTAACACAGAAGAGTTCTTTCTTTCTTTTTTTCTTTTTTGTCCGATTTTTCTTTTCTGTTTCTTGGAAAGTGTTGCTATCTGTCCCTCCCACTGGTCCTTCATAATTATTGTTGTTTTCTTTATTTCTTTCTCATCTGCACACATCACAGGCTGCTGATACACCCTCCGCCTCATCCTGTCAAAACCCCAACTCTGGGCGCCCCTGGGTGTTGAACCTCTGCCGGTTTGGGTCCACACATCCCACTCTCTCCCTTTCACGCCACTCACTGGAGTCGTGGGATCCCCCACCCCAGCTGCGGTGAAAACCGGAAATTTTCTCTTACACCGCCTCCCCCCCACCCCCGCCGCCCTGCTCAGCCCCCCATTCGCCGCGGATCGCCTGGGAGCTGGGAAGCTCGGAGCACGGCCGGGGCTCGGCCGCCTCTCCCCTCTCTCCGGAAGACTTTAATTTGCACACTTGCTTGCCACCCCGCCGGCCCAGAGTCCCCCCACCCTCGGGGCTCCCGCTGCCGGGTGGGTCTCTGGCAAAGTCGGCTTTCGGGTCCCCTCCCCCGGTGCGCCGCGCGGCCGCCCCTGCAGCCTCCCCACTTCGGGCCCCCGAGCCCCGGCCGGAGCCCCGAGGCCCCCCGACCGCCCCCAGCGCTGCGCGGGCGGCGCCCTCCGCCGTCCCTCCGCCCTCCGCCGCTGTGCCCACCCCCTCGCGGGAGAGAGCGCCGCGGCCGGGTCCCCAGTCTCGTTACCTGCTCCGCGCGCGGTGGACACGTGCGGAGCCGGACTGACACTCGCCGCCGCTCTCCGGAGGCTCGGCGCCACTGGGCCCCGCAGGTAAGAAGCTACGGATTTGACTCGGGTGGGTGGACTTTCAGGGTAGGGGTCTGGGGGGACATCTGGAGGCTTGCCAGGAATGGAGACAAGGGTGGAGGGGGTAAGTACTGGAGTGGGGGGCTGTATGTCCTCAGAATCGGCTTTGATTAACCCCTTAGGAGCCGAGACAAGGTTGGTTACGGGTGGGGGGGCATTTTGGGGGAGCTTAGAGGAATCTTTTCTAATACGGGGAGAGAGGGGTACCCACATCAGGGACATCCTCTCCCCCACTTCGCCCAACACCCAGGTCCTGTGCCAGCTCCCACATGTCCGTGCGCACAAACACCCACACATACAGTTCTCATCTAGCTTCTCCGAACAGAACTTGGACTCCACTTGGACATTCGCGTAATCATTCACATTGAGGTTTAAATTGTACCGTCTCCGGAGACCCCCATGCTTGAAAATGTGTTTCCGTGCCCCCTGTTCATTTCCCTCCCCCTCCGCCCCCTAGAAAGCTCGCTCTGCAGCTTTTGGAGGTGTGGGTGTGGGCTCCATCTTCCCCACAGTGAAATAAAAGTTAACGCAGGCTTCCTGCTGGCAACCCCCGCGGGCGTGTTCTGCCCCGCCGAGAGCTCGCCGCCCGCCGGTCCCCAGGCTCGAAGCCCCGCGAGGACGCACGTTTGCTTTAGTTCCCGAGTTTATTTTTGTATTGTTTCAACTCTCAAGAGTTCAAAATGCACGCCCCGCAGTGATCCGTTCCCGGCCCCGCGGCGCGCCCGTCCGTGTGCACGTGGACACATGTGCGTGTGCGCACACGCGGGAGTCGCGGTCCCCGGGGCGGCCTCTCCTTGCAGCGCTGGTGGCGACCCTCGCGGGGCTCGGCGAGGCTTGGGGAGAGGCACATGAAGGATTTCATTGAGTGTGAAGACAGAGAGCAGAGACAGAAAGCAGAAGGAGGCGGCTGCAGCCTTTGTAGTCGCGGAGGAATGCGGAAATGTTGAAGCACTATGTCAAACTTTTTTGAAATGGGGTCAAGTCACATTCAGCCAGCGTGGGAAAGCAACAACAACAACAAAAAAAAGTGGAGGAGAGGGGGGGAAAAGGCATTGCTGCTCCGATTTCCCCGCGCCGCCGAAGCGGACCATCCCGGGGGCGCGCGGGAGGGGGGGAGGGGGCGGGTGCGGGGCCGGGCGGGGGCCGCGGGTGCAGCTCCCTGCGGGGGTGGGACGTCCCTGACGCTTCCTTCGCTTGGGAGAGGGGCGGGGGGGGGGGTGGGCTGGACTGGAGCGAGAGGGGGAGGGCGGCGTCGAGAGGGGCGGGCTGGACGACCGCCGGCGGTTTCCCCGCTACCTGTGTGGCCCACGACCTGGCTCAGACCCCGGGGCAAGCTCCGGGGGGCTCTTTTCTCGGCTTTTAAGGGAAGTTCTGAAAGGAGCGAGTGTGGGCGGCTCTGCCCACGCTGCGGTCCGCTGCGTCCGCACCCGGCGGGGGTCGCGCCGTGGGTGTTTTGGTCCCCCCCCCCCCCATCTCTTTTCCTTCCTGCCAGAAGATCAGCGGGCCAGCGGTTGCGGGGCAGGTAATTTCGAGGTGTCCCGAGGGACACGCGGCTGTGGGGGTGGGAGCTTGTCTAGGTTCTGGGTAGCCACTGAATGGGTAGGGTACGTGAGGGTACCCCCCGTTACCCCCCCCCACATACACACCGGCGCTTTGTTGTGCAGAAGGGGTGAGGGGGTGCCGACTGCACCACCAGACCTGGCCCTCTAGCCCACGGGGCAGCTGATACTGCCACCTCTGCTCCCTTGGTCGGGACGCCTCTGGCACTGGATAGAGGTTCTCCAGACCTCCCCCCCCCAACAGAGCCCCTCTTTTTATCACCTTTACTCACCCCTCCCCCTTTTAAGGGAGGTAGCGCGTTGACAAGGTTTCAGTCAGTTGAAAACTTAACAAGATGAGTCACGGTTATGCTATCTTGCTCCTGAAGTTATTCTTTAATGACACGGCCAGCCAGCGTGTGTCAGACACTACTTTCCCCTCACCCTGGTGGGATCCCTTGGGGAGGGGGACTTACCCGGGGCGCCCCCCCAGTCGCCCACCCTCTAGCCCCGGTCCTCCCCTACCAGATGGCTTGTCTTGCCTGGGTTTCCACTAGGGAGGTCCTCGGAGTCGGAGGGAGAATTCCGTTTCCCACCAAAGACTCCTTCTCCTCCCCCCCCAAAAGACCATTTGTATGTGCGGAGCCCTTTTTAAATGTCTGCTCATAGAAAAACTGAAAGTAGAAAGAAAGGAAGCAATTTCCGAGCAGATGTCTGACCACCCCTTCTCGCACACTCCCAGCATCGGGTTACAAGGTCCTAGGAGCCCCCACCCACATTCTGCGGGCCCCACACGGGCGAACCTCCCAAGTCCCTTCCCACCAGATTGCGCACGACCTTTGAATGCCCATCCCCACCCCACCCCCGACCCTCCTTCTGCCGGCCGGTCCGGGCCCCTGGGAACTAGGCTCTCCCCCCCTTGCCCCCCGCGGGGCAACAATGATATAGGTATAAATATGAAGCCGTGACATTGACGTGCCCGGCGCCTCCCCTCCCCCGCGCTCCCGGCACACTCTGGGCCGCTCGGCACGCCCCCTCCCGTCCCGCTGCGTCCCGCGCGGCGCTCATCCCCGAGGGGCCCCTGCAGCCTCCGCGCGAAGACGGGCTCCAGCCCGGCGAGGGAACGAAAAGTAACTTGGCCTTTTCTCGGAGAAACCAGGGAGGAATCGGCGTCGGGGGAAGAGGAGGGTAGCGATGGGGGCTCGGGGAAGGGGGAGCTGGAGGAGGGAAGTCCGGAGGAACCCCCGTGGATAGCTAGCTCCGGGGATGTCTGATGGCACTTTCTTCTCGTCTTCCCCGTCTCGTCTTTTAGGTGCTAAGATTGCGGACCGAGGCGCGTCCGGGCAGATTATGTGATCGCCTCCGTGTCGGGGTGGAGGACTTCGCTTCGGGGAGGGAAGAGGAGGGATCGGCGGTTCGCTCCTCTCCGGCGGCAGCGGCGCGGCGCGGCGCGGCGCAGCGACTCGGCAAGGCGGAGTTTCGCGGCCGCCGCACCAGAGTCGAGCCAGGCGAGCCGGCGGGGAGGTCGCTCCATCCAGTCCCGGCGGCCACGAAAGCCCCGGCACCGGAGCGCCGGAGCGGGCAGGGCGAAGGCCGGGGGGACCGAGGGAACGAAGGAGCGAGCCGGCGATTGCACCCCCCCGCCGACCCCAGCGACGCAGCGCCGGGCGGCATGGAGAAGGAAGGGCTGAGCCGGGCGGACCAGCAGTACGAGTGCGTGGCGGAGATCGGGGAGGGCGCCTATGGCAAGGTGTTCAAGGCCCGCGACCTGAAGAACGGAGGTCGGTTCGTGGCACTGAAGCGCGTGCGGGTGCAGACGGGCGAGGAGGGCATGCCGCTCTCCACCATCCGCGAGGTGGCGGTGCTGAGACACCTGGAGACCTTCGAACACCCCAACGTGGTCAGGTAAGGAGGGAGGTCCGCGCCGTGCCGTCGGGGGAAGCGGGCTGGGGCGTGGGGGCGGGGGGGGGGTCGGGCCGGTCCTCGGGTCCAGAAAGGTGCCAGGCAGGGGTCGGCCTGGAAGGCCCTGCGCGATCTATTAACCAGACAAGATGAGAGTGAGTTTTATCCACAGAGCCCTGAGCCAGAACGTGACCTTGCCAGCAGAGCAAACAACAACAAAAAACAAACCACAGAGGAAAAAAAAAAAACCTGCTTCTTTACCGCTGAGCTACTCCCAAGTACTTTCTCTCTACTGTCCTTTAGGAGTCCTGGAGAGCTGGGTTCTTTTGGGGACAAAATCCAGCCAGCCTAAAACAGGTTCCACCAGCTCCATGTACATATATAGATATTTAGATACACATATGTATGTATATACATGTACATATGTATATACGTATATATTTCTGCCTTTGGAGGACTTCGTGAGACTGAGAATGAGTGAGGAGGTAACAGGTTGTGTGATAATTAGAAGGGAATTTTAAGGGTCGAGCCTAATATAAAGCAAGTTTAAGAAAATGTATAACATGTCAGTCCCACTCAGTTTCTTTTTATCAAAGTTGCCAAATAACGATTTCTGATGGTCTAAGGAGTTGGTGATGCTTGATGTCAAATGCCGTTTAAAAAATGTCAAAGTCAAGCATGGCGATGTATGCCTGTAATCCCAGCTCTTGGGAGGTTTAGGCAGGAGAGTTTAAAGCCAGCCTTGGCCACACACATTGGAAGACCCTATCTCAGAAGAAAAAAATAAAATTGGACTGGGTAAGTGGTACTGGGCCAGCTAGCTTCCTAAGCATACGGCTCTTTTGAGTTCAAACTACCAGTACCATCAGGTGGGGGGAAATGTCTTGCAAAAGTGTCACCTGTTGGTGATACTTCATGACCCTATGCTGACATAGTCTTTAGACTTCTATTAAGGGTTAGATGTGAATCTAGGATGTGGCCTCTTTAGATTCTACATGTCCTGCCCTGGCTTTCCCAGTTATGCAAGTGGGTAGGCAATGCAGTATTCCTAATTTTCTCCTGTGTAGTAACCAGTATTAAAAGAAAGTGTTTGTGATTTAGGATAATGATGTTTTCTTAGTGATCCTGGAATTTCCCCATTGTGTGTGGTTGTGTCATCCTTTTCTTTCTTAAACCAATGCATAGCTACATAGCTTGAAGTCAAAAAGGAATGCAGAGAAACTTGTACACACTAAGTTGTGATTTTTAACCTTTTTGGGCTCTTAATGTGTGGGAGAAAGGAGATTTGGAGGATCATCTCCCTTTTTTCTTGTCCATCTAGGGATTCTGTTCGACAAATACGTGCCTACTGTGTGCTCTGTGGATGAAACTATGTAAATAAGCATAGCTAAATATTTTTGTAAAAAGTCAAAACAGTTTAACATTAGTCATCAAAATGGAGAGACCCAGGACTGACCTTTGAAATACCAAGCCCTCTACAGAACCAAGAGAGACCAAGTATCTTCAAAATCTTCCTGGGAGGTTTTAACTTGTCTCCTTATCCTAGGCTGGGTGATTTGTGAGATGCTTTGTTACCAGCACAGTCAGACTGAGGCTAGAAGGCAGCAGAGAATCATAAGTACATAAATAAAGTAATAAAGGGTTGGAAAGATATGACCCCATTAGCCTATACTTAAGGCAGAAAAATGAGATTGGGAGAATAGTGTTCTAGAAGATGGAAGTTTATGTAAAAGCATTAGTTTACCTTTTGTGTCTCTGTGTGTGCTTGTTGAAAAACAAAAACTTTGGGAAGGAGGGTCTTCCCAAAAGGGAAGGGAGGGAAGAAAGCAAACGTTCAACTCACCAGACTTAGTTCTTTTCCCAGAGCAATCACAGAAGCTCTTCCCAAAGAATGACTTTCAGCACTAGAATTTTAAGAGCAAAGTTTTTGTTTTATTTTTGTTACCTGTAGAAGATCCTATTGAGAGTGATTATCAGGTATACAAATTAAAATATAAAATTAAATAATGTTCTTCTAATAGACTGTATAATACTGTCACAAAGCCCAATTAGGAAAGTTGTGCCATTGTGTTGGGGTCCGTTGGCTGATCCTCTTGAGATGGTGATCTTTAGAGATGTTGAAGTTGACATGGATTCTCAACTGTGAATTATACAAGGCTCTACAATGAACTGAAGAAAAAGGCATCATTCTCTGTAATTGTTTTTACCTGAAGTGAGGTAATGATGATACCTATCTTGTAGAGTTTGTAAACTTAAAAGTACTTCAAGTATCTTGAATATTTGTATTTCAGCAGATTAGTGGGACTCTTGCCTTCCAGTTCCCAAGAATGCATCAGTTTATCTGACTTTTTATATAGAATACATGATATTAAAACTCAGACACTTCAGGCTTTAGAAATAATGAAGCTACTTGAGAATAATTAGCCTGAAGCTTGTTTCCCCCCCCCCCCAAAAAAAACCCCAAGCAAACTCCAAAACACATTAGTCACAAGTTGTGAAATTAGTGACACTTGCAGTTATTGATGAGATTACCCTCAAGAGCTGAACACCTCCATTCTTTTTTTTTCCTTCCTGTTTCTTCTCTTCTGCCTCTGCCTTGGGACAACCACTGCCCCCTTAACTTGCTTGGATTATATTAGGAATTTCTGATTTACAGGTTTGCTAAGATTTTTTTTTTTCAAGGTTAGGAAATAAGTGAGAAATGACAACAATTCCTTCAAGTGTCAGATTTGAACCCCAGACCTGTCATTGTTGTTGTCCATAGGATAAGTTTTGTAGTTGTATGCCTGGTTTATTCAAAGTTGTTTGGAAGGGCAGATGCCTTTTTAAGTGCCTTCAAGTTATAAGTAATTGATGATAATTATAGGGTTTCCCCACAGATAGTTAAACCCTAAGCTTGAAAGAACACAATAAACATATTAGTTTTATTTTTTAAGTTTTAAGGTTTTAATTTTGAAAGACTTACTATAAAAGCTTGCTTGAGTTGTTGGCCCAGGCACCGTGTGCATGCACAGAGATGATGATTTGAAATTCTTGCTTACCTGCATGTGATATCTCCCAGGCCCAGGCTTGACCAGCCAAATAGTGTCTGAAATGTAAATTTACTTTTATTTTACAGTTGTTAATCTTGAATTCAGAAGACTTTGCCAAAATCAGACTTCAGTATGAACAAGCGTTGGAGTTTCTGCACTCCATGAATGAGTTCTGTTTTCTATCCTGAACTAAAACACATAGAGAGAAATAAAACATAATAACAAGTTTTGTCAGGAGTGCATTTATTCACCAGCTGTTTATAGGGGCCTATTATGCTGTCAGACAACCTGAAGATAACAAGCTGGGATAGAGGACTGAGCAAGTCAGAATTAGTAGCTACACTTGTATGATATACCTTGTTATAGGATGAGTTGCTTTTCTTTTTCTCTTTAACAGTTCATTTGTCTTTATTTCAGTTGCCTTTATTTCAGTCAAACCAGTTTTATAGAGCAATTTAGTTTGCAATAGTTTAGTTACCAGGAATTTGACGGTTGAGTAGGCAAGATACCTAAATGTTAATCAGAATCACATGCTTTTTGAAGATTAAATTTCACCTTTAGGACATACATAATGACCTGTACAAGAAGTCGTTCACATGGAACTATGTATAAGTATATTGGGTGGGAGAAAATGATCAGAGATGACATTGATGAAGTTGCATTGTACTTATAAACTGACATTTTGAATTGAAACTCCTTTGTACAACTACTTAAAGATAATTTAAAAGTAAAAAAAATAAGAGCATTTGCTCCATGTATTCAACACATATTTAGAAAAGACTTCATCTCTAAAAGCCACAGGGTTGGGAGTGCTGGAGAAATACAAATCACTCACTCCTAGCAACTCCCTCAAGTGGTTTCCCAACGTTTGAAGGAATAATATTATCATAAAATATTAGACATGAAAGTATCATATGCCTAAGTGAAATATAGATAAAGGATTAAATTTATTAGAATATCAGTGAAAGTAATTCAAGTGCAAAAACTGATTCTGTAAATGAATAGTTTAAACTATCAGTGAGTAATATATGCTTTCTAAAGGTCTAAATATGTTAAATTTTTACTAAAATATGCAGTCAATACTTTAAAAATCAAAGAAACAGAGAAGTTAGATGGTTCAGTGATTATTTAGGGACTTGTAATTTTCTCTTTAAACAGCAATATGCAGAATGAAAGGAGAGTGCAGTTATGATTTCTCTAGAAAAACTTACAAGATAGAAAAATTTGGCTCTGTATGGAAGCCAGGTCTTCAGGTAGGTAGTTCATGGAGATCCTTACAAAGAAAGGTTGTCTTGTGGATTAGTAATGCACTATGTATGGCCTGTTTCAGTGAATGCAGGAATAACTTATTTAAAAGTCAATACGTTAATAATTAGTTCCTTTGTTCTGAAGAGTTCCTTGAAAAGTCTCCAATTTATCAAGGTTTATTAGCAAACAAATATTTTTTCAATGTTATTCTATTTTTACCTTGTTCCTACAGAAGAACTTGGTAATTCTGAATGTATATCTTTGTGGTTGTATCCTTTTTTATGTAACATCATCATGACAGTTTTACAAATTCTCTATAGAGTCAGGGGGAAAAAACAGACTCTAAGAGGGGAACATTTAAATTTAAAATTTGGGGGGTACTTTCCTATGTAAAAAAGTGCTATATGTAGACAAAGTGGAAGGTTTGCTAAGAATAAGTGATAATGCCAGGTACTGGTGGCTCATACGTGTTTTCCTAGCTACTCAGGGAGCTGAGATCTGAGGATCAAGTTCAAAGCCAGCCGGAGCAGGAAAGGTCATGAAACTCTTATCTCCAATAAACCACTAAGAAAACTGGAAGTGGTACTTTCTGTGGCTCAAGTGGTAGAGCGCTAGCTTTGAACTGAAGAGCTGAGGGACAGCGCCCAGGCCCAGAGTTCAAGCCCCATGACTGACAAAAAAAAAAAAAAGAATAAATGATATCAATTCAAGAAACTTCTGAAT